GCCCCACATGCGGGTAAATTCCTGTCGCCTCCCTCCCCCGGGACCCTCTGTCCTTCACTTTACATTTAGGCACCTTGAACGACACACAGGGACAGACAGCCCAGGAGACAGAAGGAAAAGCCAGATTCCACAGAGCCGACCCCAGCCGCGCCCCGCACAGGCTCTGCTTGCGGGGTCGCCGGGCTGCTGCTTGCTGTCTGCTTGGAACCTTCTGGAACTCACCGCCCCGCCCCCTGGCCCTCAGGGGGCACCGGATTGTTGGGGCAGCCAGGGTGACTGCGAGGGCTGGGTCTCTCTCCGAGGAGAGAAGAGAGATGCCGAAGGTGGAATCTGCTTGCTCCGGTTTTTTTTGCCAAAAATATTTAGGAGGGAAGGGTCAGAAATGAAGGCGAGCAGTCCCTCCCCCACCCCCCTGCTCGTCTCCTCTGGTCCCCCCAAGACTGGCCGGCAGCTGGATCCCGAGAGACGTCGGCAGTTCAAGATCTGAAGGCTGGAAGGAACCTCTCCCCCCAGACCCTGCCCCAGCCCCAACCGACACCTCGACACCTCGCAGAGAGCTGCCCACGCCCACCCCTTGAGAATGCAAAAGACATTTCTAGAGAAATGCCCCTCCCCCAGGTAAAGGCTACCTCACTCAAACGTTCATGTCTGTGATTGAAAAAAATCACGCCTGATACCAAAGATTTCCCCCAAGGACTTGTGCTGGACGCTTCAATTCCCTCACCTGGGGACCAGGTGTGTGTGAGGTCCCACTCTGGGCCCCGCCCTCCAGGTGCGCCCCGCCCCCACCGGAGAGAGCGAGAGAATGAGAGAGACAGGGAGAGAAAGGATAGTGATGTCGATGAGTGCCTTTTTCTTGAACCAAAGATGTGTGTGAAATGTTCTCTTGTCCTTATCGACTCGCTATTCTCTTGGCTTTTTAAGCAGCCGGATCTGAGAGATGCTTCTGGAACCTGCGGGTGTTGGGGCAGAATCCCGAGCCCCTCCCTCCCAGCCACCAGCTCCCCCCACCACAGGCGCACCCCTGACCACTCGCACTGCTGTCCTCCTGCCATCACCTGGACTGGGTCGAGCTGGACCCCGACCCCTTCCCTCCCTGCTCACCATCACCTGGACCCAGGAATTGATGCAGGCTTGTTCTGACTGTAGAACGTTCTAGCATGGCGAACTGTGGTCATCTAGGGGCAAGGCCCATTGACCCGAATCCCTTTCAGACACACTCCGGTGCCCAAGTGAGCACACCCACCAGCCCCCCGCCCCTCGCCCCCTCCCAACACCCCTTGGTCATCACCTACCAAAGATCTTTCTCCACGTAGGGAATGAACCTCCAGCACAATTCCTTCAAGCCTTTGACAATTTTCTCTGAAATACCTCAGAATATTTAATGTATAGTTTATGTGATAAAAAAAAAATCCTTAGCTAGTTTTTGGAATACGTGACTTGAAGCTTTATACCGTTAAATTATAATTTTGCAGACGATGGTATGTCATTTCTTTGACGAGTTCCATGGGAGACATATTGAATGTCAGGGCAGTGGAAGCTGGGTGACGAGAGCAAAAGGCAGAGAGCGTGAGGGAGAGAGACTGGGCGAGTGAGAGGGAGGAAGGACCAGGCGTTTACAGATTTCTTATTTAAACGAGTCCTTTAGGAAAGAGAGGGAGAGAGCGAGAGGGAGAGAGAGGAGTTACTTTCTGTTCTCTGGTGTGTTCTGTTTCTCGTTTTTCTGGAGTCATGTCTTATAAGAGTATTTATTATTCTGTGTGTTCTGTGTTCAAATTGTAATTTAAGAAAAAAAGGAAGAAAAATGAAAAAAGACACAATGGAATTTGATTTGATGCATGACTAATGTACTTTCTGGAAGCTTCTGTGGGGCGGGTGGGGGTGGGGCGGTGCCGGGAACTGTTGCATGGTGTATTCACGCAGGCTGGTGGGTCCAGCCCTATTGTCAACGCTGTTTCTTTCCCCTTTCTAAGGAGCTGTGTCCTGTGGGCGCCATGTGGTGGGCGGGTGGAGAGGAGAGAGGCAGGCAGGGGCGCCCCTCCCCATGCCCGCAGGCCTCCTGCCCGCCCCCCAGGCAGGGGCCCCAGCTCCTGCTCTTGGTTTTGGGGAGCCCGTGGGTGTCACTGCCAGTCAGATGCTCGCCTCCCACCTGGCTGGTTTAACATGAGCATGGATTCCAAAGTGTCTTGTAAAGAGGAGAGAGACAATCAGCTGACTTGAGTCTTGTTGCCCATGGGTAAGGGGCTGGGGTGCACCCCAACTTCCCCAGCTCCAAAGGGTCCTTGTGAGCCCCTCCTCCCTGGGCAAGCACCACCCAGGCTCTACCCAGACATGCTCAGTCTCCTGGGCCCTGAGGGGCCATGAGTCGACCTGTCCAGCCTGGGAGGTCGGGGGGATGCACACATTATCACCCAAGTTAGGATCCTGGGCATCAGAGGGGGCCCCACATCATTATGGGGGACAGTCTCAATGCCTGTAACATCACCACAAGGCCCTTCACGTTCCTACCGGGGGAAGCCCAATTTCCAGGACAAATTCCAGGAAGGAGGCTGGGAGAGCCACCAGGGTGGGGGCCACTCATCCCCTGAAAGACAGAGCCCCAGTTTGGAGGGCTGGGCCTGGGGGTGGCAAGATATGGCCCAGGGCCTCCCAACGAGCCCAGGCACCAGCTGGAACTTGGGCTACCCAAAGCAGTTTGACCCAAACCAGCCAGCAAATACCTGAACTCCTCATGGCCCCAGCAGAGCACCACAGGACTGGGCTTTGGGGGCGTGGTCTCAGCCAGCAGAGAGGGAGGCTCAGGAAGCCCTGGGGCCCTGGCTGGTTTAATCAAGACTGGACACTAGGGCCACTTTCAGGGGAGACACTGTTTGGATCAAAGTGCCCTCCCCCACGTTGGAGGGAAAAGAAGCCCTCTCAGTTCACCTTCAGGTGACAGGCTTAAACGTTTTTTGGTTTTTTAATTGTCATTATTGTTAACCATTGCAGTGCTGGATGTTTTGTTTTGCTCCAATAAATTATTTTCTAGTCACTCACCTGAGCGTGTGTGTTGACCGACTGGGGAGCAGGGTGCAGGATAGGGAGGAGTGGGGCTCACCACGTGAAGATGGCGAGGGGGAAGGGAGTGACGGAAACAGCAGCCCACCTCTCCCGCTGACCCCGCGCCTCTCCAGTCCTGCCTCTTGCTGGGCGTGGGTCCTCTCCGAGCCTGCCCCCCCCACAACTCATGAGCCAACCTGTCTCCACGTGAGGATTTTGTTCGCCTGCTTTCTGCAGCTTGAAGTGTGAGGCGCTTGAAGACCGTGAGTGGCTTAATTTAGGGAGAGAAACCAGGGCCTGCTGGCTAGGGGTGAGTCTGGGTGGTGGAAGAATTGGGCCTTATAAGCTGCCCTGGGGAGGGTCAGCAGGCTCAAGCTGGGAGCCAGCGCTGCTAGGCAGAATCTTCTCTTTTTCCCGTCCGGAGCCATAAAGCTGTTATCTATACCCCGCCAGGGAAGAAAAAGCTTTCCCTGCAAATCCCCCACTGAACCACTAGAGGTCAGTGTTTTGATTTTTTTTTTTTTTTTTGACTACCACTATTCCCATGTAGTCTCACCAAAAATAAAAGGAAGAGTGAGCTGAAATGAGCCCTGGGGGCAGATGGGCCCTAATTTATTAGAAAAAGAAAAGGGTGGAGAGCCCATGTCTTTGGGAAAAGACCTGGTACTTGCTGGTTGACATTCTCGAAGCCTGGGAAGTCACACCCTCTGGAGACAGGGTGGCTTCACCACCCAACCAGGTGGCACTTGTCTCTCTCTGGGCACAGGTGTCGGGGCCAGCTGCCTGAGTCCGGCTGCGCTTTTGTGGATTCTCCCATCTCTGCAGTTTCCACCAGAGATGGTGGGTCTCAAGGGGAAGGGCCACCAGCCCTGTTTGGGGGGGCTCCTTTTGCCAGACATGTGGCCCTGAAATCACCCAAAGGGACATGCTCTTCTCCAGGGGTGCTGATAGACTCTGAGAGCCGTGACTGAGTCTCGCCACGCGGCGGCTGGCTTTCCTGGGCTCCTCAAGGGAGGACAGTGGGTGTCTGGCTGACAGCTGGCTGGCGGTGGACTCTGAGGAGGTGGACGTGCTCAGTGCTCGTGCAAGTGTGGGGGCTCCGGCGTCATCGCTGTGGACGAGGTCCCCTGCAGAAGCCCAGACTGCCAGCCCTCGGTGGGGAGCAAGTTCTCCGTGACGGGGAACTGGTTTTCCAGGTAAGAAGGGGACTGCGCGGCGGCGGGAGCCAGCCAGGAGGCAGCCCCCGCCGCGGGCTGCACGTCCTCCGAGGGCGCCCTCGCCCTGTGCCTGTGCTTCTTCCCCAGCGTGGGCAACTCCCTGGCGTGCCAGGGCAACTCGTCTGGGCCGGACTGCAGCTCGTCCTCGAAGGGCACCCCGCGGTCAGCCAGCATGCTGACCCCCGTCGGTGTCCGGAGACTGGTGCCCTGCGTGATGAGGTCTGCGTAGCCCTCGCGGTGGGAGAAGGCGTAGCTGGAGCGCCGGACGCGCGATGCCCGCTGCAAATAGTGTGCTGTCTCCACGGTGAGGATCTCCTCGCTCGGGGTCTCCGCCTCCACCTACAGAGCAAGTGAGGGGCAAGAGCCGGCAGCTCCCACCGTGCTGTCTGTCCCGGGGCTGTTCGGCGGCCTTGGCCGTCACTGATGGGCCAGGCTTCCCCCAGTCATGTCGACCCCGCTGGAGTCTCCCCGGGACTTGACTTTCTTAGCCAGAGTCCTTCTCTGGGGCCGGGGGCGGGGGCCGGGGGCGGGTGTCCGGCAGCACAGAGTGAAGCAGCCACCTCTCTGGCCTGTGCTAGAGCCTGCAGGTCTGTGACTCGCTTAGTCAGTCCACCGTGAGACTGAATTCGGGGGTTAACACAGCTGCAAGCCAGCTTTTGGTAAGTGCCTCCACCCCCTTTGCCGTCTTGATTATTTTCAAATGCACAGCTCAGTGGTGTTGAGTATATTCACACTGTTGCACAACACCCTCCTTCAAAACTTTCTAATCTTGGGGCCTCCCTGGTGGCCTGGCCTGGGGGTTAAGTCTCAGCACTGTCACTACTACACCCTGAGTTCGATCCCTGGCCAGGGAGCTGACCACAGGGCACAGCAGACCTCTCCTGTCTCCCCGCTGCTCCCCTCAGCAGTGTACTTCAGTCAATCGGCCTGTTCTGTTCCCCACTGTCTCTGGTGAGTCCTCTGACCCCCCACACCTCTGGCCTACACCCCAGTTCCTCTACACAAATAAATCAATAAATAAATACTTAAAAAAAAGTTCCCAAACTGACGCTCTATCCCCAGTAAATACTAACTGCCCTCCCCCAGCCCCTGACATCACACTTTATTTCCTGTCCCTGTAGATATGACTCCTCTAACACCCTCCTGTGAGTGGATCACACATTGTGTATCCTTTTGTGTCTAGCTTATGTCCCCACTGTAGCTGTGTCAAATTTCCTTCCTCTTCAGGGCTGAGTACTATTCCACTATGTATCTAGGCCGCCTTCTGCTTATTTGTTCGTCTTAGGATGGACACTTGTGTTATTTTTAAGCTCCTCTTTTCCTGTAAACCCTTCCTGGGTAACCTCTGTCATCCTGACCCCCACCTCCCAGATGATTTGGGAGTAGAAGTCTGACAGTATTGGTGCTGGACCTAGGCTGACATTCCTAGCACTCAGTTGCCTGTATTCTAGGGGCCGGTATTTGGCCCACTGAGGATCCTGGGTATGTCTCCAGCCCCACATCTCTCTGGAGTCCTCCCAGTATAGACTCTGGTTGGCGGGGTCCCAGGAATGGGCAGTAGGGACTGGGTGCCCTCACCTTGGGGCGTGGCTTCTTGAGGGCTTGGTAGATGACACGCAGAGCCAGCACTGGCAGGGTGTTTATGGACACGTTCAGCAGGATCACCAGCAGGAAGAAGGGGTGGGCCAGCACGTTGCGGTCAGCATCTGGGGCAGGGCAGGGTCACAGCACAGCCCCAGGCAGAGCCTTCCAGGACCTGCTCTGTGCCCCCCACACCTCTTCCTCACCCCCCCTTCACCCCAAGGGGACCTTTGTGCAAATCCCAAAGGGCAGCCACAGAGTAGAGGCCGGGAGTGGGCCTGAGTGTGGGCCCAGGCATGCGCGTGCCCCTCACCCTGCTCCAGCGCCCACCAGCCCCTCCCTGCTCGGGGGGCTCACACAGAAACGAGAAGGTCTTCGGGGAGATTTTGAAGAGCCAGAAGCTCTGGGTGGCCCAGGTCATGACCACATACGCGCCCAAGCTGAGGAGGATGGTCAGCACTGACAGGACTGTCCAGTACTTGATGATGAGGATGACCTGGCCACGGAGGGACAAGTTACCCGGGAGAGTAGCGAACCCCAGAGGGCGTGGGGAGTCGAGACCCCAAGCTACAAAGGCACCTGGTCCCTAAGGCGGGCCACGAGACCTCCGTGGCCCCTGTGGAGGCCCTGGGCGGTGGTGCCAGCCAGGGCGTCCGCCTACCTCCATGGTGATGGACAGCAGGCCCGACAGCGCCATGACCACTGAGAAAGACTGATAGTCGCTCAAACCGGTTGGCCCGGACACGTCATCGTAGAGCCACAGGGTCACAAAGAAGTTGACCAGGGACGTGAACAGGCCGTGGGCGAGGGCTTGGAAAAAGACCCAGTAGTTGAAGAGTTCGTCCTTCTGGCCCGCGATGTAGAGCTCCGGCAGCTGCAGGCTCTGCTCTGCGCTCACGTCCTGGGGAGGGGTGTGGCGGGCTCACGCAGGCGGGAGGGCCCCGCGGCCCGGCCCCCACCCGGGCTGCCCCGGCCCTCCCCTGGCCACGTGCCATACGTGGCTACTTGGATTTAGTGGGTGACGATCAAATGGATGGCGCACTCTGGCGGCAGGCGAGCGTGGGTGGGATGGGGAACGTTGTGTTGTTTGAATTTTATCACAGAAAAACCAAGTTTCTTAATGAGGTGAAACGCGAAGTCTGCTTCCTCAGGGCAAGCCAGCCAGGCTTAAATGTTCTCCCTAACCACGTGGCCGGCGGCACCCTCTCTACAGCCTGGGTGAGGAATATTTCCATCACCTGGAAAGTTCTACTGGGCCACACTAGTCAGGGTCGCTTCTCCAGGGTCTCTCAGAGCTGCAGGTGGGGTGACCGGGAAGACTGTCTCTCAGAGGACCCCTCTCCTCACGGTTGAGATCGGCCTTGGGGGTTGGGGCTCCAGAGAGGGTGGGGTCAGGGAAGAGGTCCCTCCCCTTCCCCCTCCCCCCTCCCCCGTTACCTGAGACCAGGTCGTGCTCTGGGGGAGGCAGGTAAAGGTACTGCCTGGGGGTGCCTGGACTGAGCCCTGCAGAGAGCTCCCTCCCTAGGTCTAAAAGCCCCCCCCCCCACAGGCCCCTCGCTGGCGAGGTGGGTCAGGAGCAGAGACAGGAGCCTGTGGCCCACGGGGCAGCTCACCTGTTCGAAAAGCCCAATGGAGAGGACGGGCAGCGTGCTGTAGAGCAGGTTGAAGAACGCCAGGAACCAGCCCTCATACAGCGGCTGTGGGGAGGAGGGCGGCGGTCAGCTTCAAAGCCAAAGGCCAGCGACAGACGCCCGGGGATGGCAACAGAGTGAAGACAGCGGGGAACTGTACTCACTACCGAAGTGGCAGAGCAAAGGTACCAACCCCTGAAGGTAAGTAGGTGGCCGCCGCACAACCGGAGCCGCCCCAGCAGGAAGGAGCCGGAGCCCGCGCTGAGGCCGTCATCAGCCAGCGTTGAAGCGCCTGGCTCTTTTTTTTTTTTTTTAAGATTTTATTTATGCACACAGAACTGGGGTACAGGCCAGAGGTGCAGAGGGTGAGCGGCTTCCCCAGAGACAGAGTGGGGAGCAGGACAGGCAGACGGACTGAAACACACTGCTGAGGGGAGCAGCGGGGAGACAGGGGAGGTCTGCTGCGTCCTGGGGGTCGCCTCCGGGGTGGGGACTGAACTTGCACTGAAGCGGCCCTGGCCAGGTTTACAGTGCTGAGCTCCAGCCTGCGCCACCAGGGAGGGCCCTGCAACTGGCTCTTGACCAAAGACTCACGCACCCCAGGGGGAGGCTCCCCTGGCCCAGCACCGCATGGAGTGCTCAGACAGGCTGGAGGTCCAGGCTGGCAAAAGTTTATTCAAGATATCTAGGCGGAGGAGTTGGCTGAGGGGGAGAGCTCTCCAGGGACCCCACCACAGGCTCAGGCCCCCAGCACAGCAGGAAGTCTGAGTCCCTGGTGCTCACTGCTTCCTGGTAGCAGTGACTCCACCAAGCACTTAGATCCTGGTATCTCTCTTGGAAAAAAAAAGAGGGCTTCCCTGGTGGCCTAGGGTTAGTCTCAATGCAATCAAGCTGTCACCAGCCACTGCAGCCTGAGTTCAATCCCTGGCTGCCCAGGGAGGGACCCCAGGGCGCAGCAGGCCTCTCCTGTCTCCCCGCTGCTCCCCTCAGCAGTGGGTTTCAGTGGCTCCGTCCCGTTCTGCTCCCAGCTCTGTCTCTGGTGAATCTTCCCACCACCACCCCTGGGCAGCTTTGGCCTGCATTCCTATGCAAACATAAATCAATACTTAAAAAGGGGAAAGAAAACAGAGGCCCTTACGGGGACAGTTAACCCCAGAGGAGCAGTGAAAGTCCAACCTGCTGTGCCAGGAAAAGAGATTGTGCTCAGAGAAGAGCAGGCAGGCAAGCCGGGACAATTCCAGCAACGGAATGCAAGGACTGTCCGCAGCGACCTGAATAAAGCATGCAGTGAAGAAGTGAGGGGAAAGGAGTGGCTCTTCCCACAGAATTCCAGCTGCCAGTGAGGAAAGGCAGAGCCCGGACAGCCGCCGCCCCCGGAGGCTCAGGCCGAGACCGAGAGGGGCTCTCTGCCCCGCTGTGCAGTGCTGTGCTGGGGGCCTAGGCCGAACCCCACAACACGGAAATAAGAGACCCCAGAGAGTGTGTAAAACAATCTCTGTTTGTAGACGGCACAAGGCTGCTTGCAAACGACCCTCACGATGCAGCAGCAATGGCCACTGCAGACGCTGAAGAAACTTGGCCGCGTTGCAGGGCTCCGGCTGGCACGAAAATCTAGCTGAGCTTCTGTCTACCCACAATGAACAATCCCAACAAGGAATTAGGAAAATAAGTCCCCTTACAGTTGCAACACAAAGGGTAAAATATCTAGAAGGGAAGAAGCAAAGCAAGTAAATATAGTTATGTATTTCTCAAAGCTGCTTCTATGAAGCGCGCTCTCGGATGCCTGCTCCCCTCCGAGCCCTCTATCTCCAGACAATTTCCTGAAACCAAGGGGAAATCACGCCCTAGGAACTCTTCTAGGGCCAACACACAGCTCTTCCCCATGATACTCTCCGGAACCCTAAAATCGACCCCCGCCCCCAAGTCTGAACAGTCGTCTTCCAGTTCTCCTTTCCCCTAGGAGTTACATCAAGAACATGCACCTTGTATTTGCTCCAAAGTTCCAGCATGCCAAGCATCAGAGCTGGGCAGGAACCATCCCCTCCCTTGATCTGGATTCTATACCTCTATAAATAGAGCCACACAAAAGCATACATTGTCCAGAGATCCCAGGCAGGGCCCAACCCATGGCAGCCCCAGAGCCGCTCGGGCCCGCGTACCTGGGCAGTGAAGCCGCTGTAGAAAGCAAACCAGATCTGGACCATCATGCTGGCTATCGTCTTATAGATGAAGTAGCGCAGGAATTTGCAGACGCGCATGTAAGACCAACGTCCGTGTACCAGCAGCAGCCTCTGCAGGAAGCAGAACTGAGCCAGCATGTAGTCGCTGTTCTGCACGGCCTGCATGCCCTCCTGGCCGGCCAGCCCCACGCCGATGTCAGCAGCTGCGAGGACACGCACAGCCTGTGGGTCCCAGCACCCTCCCCGCCGCTGGCCGCCCCCCTCCGGCCCTGCTGCCTGGCACCCACTCTTGATCATGTTGACGTCGTTGGCACCATCCCCGATGGCCAGGGTCACCACGTTCTGGTACTTCTTGACCAGTGCCACGATCAAGGCCTTCTGCTTGGGGGTGACCCGGCAGCAAATGACCGCCTGGCACTTCAAGGCCAGGTTGACGAAAGCCCGCTCCCGCTGCACCTCGAGCTTCTCGTGGGTGTGGAACTCCTGGTCCTGAGGGTCCGACCTCATGCTCCTCCGCTGCAGCCCAAGGAGCTGCCATAACTGGGACACCCGCCGGGCCTGCAGGGAGTCGGCCCTCTGCTTCCCCGGCTCGAGCCAGGACTCGTCCGCGTTGTGGACCAGGACCCGAGGCTCCTTGCGCAGGGACAGGAACAGCCGGTCCTGGCCCACAGGGATGGGAGCACGGGGAGGCGCATCACTCCGCCTGCACCCCTTCCCTCTGTGGACACACCCCCAAACTGACCCTCCCCCGGCCTCCTGGGAGCCCGCTGGACATGAGAGCGCCCCCCCACCCCAGGCCCTCTGAGGACAAACTCTTGACTTGGCCTCCGCTTTCCAACGTCCTGCCCGGGGCCCTTTCGGCGGCAGGGTTCCCCACCCCCGGCTGGATGCTCCTCCCAGCCCCCTCATAAATACCAGGGGCCCTGCCTGGGCCCGGAGCTGACACTGACCAGCAAATCCCCGCTGATGACCATGGCCATCTTGACCTGTGGCAAGATCGTGCCCTCCAGAGGCCCCTTCGTCTTCTGCAGGTTGTTGTTGCTGTCCCAGTAGGTCTCCAGGACCCGACTGTGGGGAGCCCAGCGGGGTCAGGCACGCAGGTCACGGAGAAGGGGGCACAGCCTTCCCCTGCCCTTCGCCCACTGTCCCTTGGTTTCCCCTCCACCTGGAGTAGGAGGGAGGCCTCTGGTGGTCTGGCCGGGAAGAGGTCAGGCACTGTGCTGACCCCTGGGGCAGCGTCTAGGCCCTGGGCCAGTGCCTCTGGCCCTCACCCTCACCTCCCACAATGCCCAGCGGGCCCACCCCACCCCTCAGGCCACCTTACACTATCTCCTTCTCCTCCAGAATGAACATGTTCTCCGAGAGCAGTCGGCAGGCAAAGGCCACGTTCACAGCCGTCTCTGCAAACCAGGCCGGCTCAGTGCCCCCGGCTCAGTGCCCCCGCCGCAGCGCCCCCTGGTGGCCGCGCCCCCTACCACTAGGCCCAGGCCCCACCACAGCCGCCTGCCCTGCGGCCCTCTGGCCATTGCGATGAACCCCAGACTGGCCCATGGGAGCCGGCCCTGAGACTCTGGCTGCTGAGCAAAAGGCCCTTCCGTCTGGGAGGACATATCCCATGTCTCGGGCGTGGGGCCTGCTGGCAAGGGTAGTGACCCACACACATTATTTCTTTCCTTTAAAATCATCAGAAGAAAAGGAAGGCAAAGAGAATCCAGCCTGGTTTCTCTTTATTTGCACACAACTGTAAAATGCACTTTTAAATATGTGTATGTGGGGAGAGAGGTTCTAGGACAGAAGTCCTGATGCAGCCCTGTGAGCACCCAGCTGCAGTGGGGTCCCCCAGAATCTGTACGGGGTGTGGCTTGGGAGAGCCAGGGACCCAGTGTCAGAAGAGGCTCCTGTGTCTCTGGGCCACCTCAGTGAGGGGCCCCGAGCTCCCTGGACCCCGCGGTGCCCACCTCTCACTGAGGGGTAAGGAGGACCCTTGTTCATGCAGCCACGTGCCCAGGAAGCGCTCAGCACAGCAGCCCAAAGGGGGCACAGTCTGGGGGGGCTGGGACCTCCTCATCTGCTCCTGTTCCTCTCTCCCCAGGAAATCCAGGGGGCAGTGCTGCCTCTGGGCATTCTGACACGGGTCGGCCATGTGCTCTCTCCCCACGAGCCCCCTTCTCAGGCTGGGGGGGACCCACCTTGCTTGTCCCCTGTGAGTACCCACACTTTGATGTTCCCTTGCTTGAGACACTGGATGGTCTCAGGGACGCCATCCTGGAGCTTGTCCTCGATGGCTGTGGCTCCCAGCAACTGGGGGGAGGGCAGGGAGAGGCTGAGCGGGGGCCCACGGGCGGGGAGGGCCCCCCAGGGCTGGGCCGGGTGCTGGGGCGGCACCTCCTGTGCAGCGCCGCTCACCTGGAGGCCCTGCTCCATCTCCTCATACACCTGGTGCAGGGCCTGGGCCCGGTTCTGCAGCAGGATGCTGGCCTCCTGGTGCTGCTGGCGCCACTGCTCGTAAGTGTCCTCGTCCACCTCCTTGTATGCCAGGCACAGGGTCCTCAGGGTCTGCTGGGCGAAGGACTGGGGACACGCCAGCCGGTCACTCCGTCTGCCAGCTCCTCCGGCCGCCGCCCTCCCCCTCTGCCTGGGCCCAGGCCTTGCCCGCCTGCCCCCTCCCCCACCAGGACACCCCCCTGCCCTTTGCCTGGCAGCGGCTAATTATTCCTCAAGGGCCCCGGTGCCGCCCTGCCAGACCCCTCCCCCCTCAGGGCTCCCCAGCCCAGGCCCCTCCCGGGACCCTTGGGCTTAAGAACGTCTGGACTCCACGCTCTGCCTCATTTTTCAAGAAAGGGGGGGACGAGGCCTTTGGGGGTGGGCTGGGGAAGGAACAGGAAGGCGTCTGTGGGACTCTGCCTCCAGGTCCCCAGGGAAGACCCCGTGTTCCCTCACCCCAGGAATGTCCTGGGAGCCCCATCATGGCCCCCTCCCCCCATCCTTCCATCCCTAGCTGTGCTGCCTCCACCGGTGACCCCAGGTCTAGTCCTGCTTCTGACCGCAGGTGGCAGCCTGAGGCTTGCACTCGGGCAGCGGAGCGGCAGCTGTCCCTCTGTCCCTCCCGTGTCTCCGTTCACGCGGCTCCGTCCGTCCGGCGGTTGAGCCACGGCGTCCTGCCCAGCATCTGGCTCCACGTCACTGACCGCACTTTGCGTCTGAGAGCAGATGTCATTCCCCGCCCCCATTCCAGGCCCCAAATGGAGGGGCATGGGGTCTCCTTCCATAGCCACTCCCCTCTGGCCCCGGGGCTGGGGGATGCCAGCACCCAGCAAAGCCCAGGAGAAGCCCCAGGAGGTCAGGGCTGGGTCAGAGAGAGGCACCAGCAGAAGATGGCTGATGGCTGGGGAGGGCACGAGATGGAGGGGGACGGAGCCCCGAGAGGACTGAAAGTCACAGGTGGAGGAAGACACTGCAAGCAGAGGGAAGACCGCACGGTCCTGAGCCACCGCTGAGCAGGAGGGGGTCCAGGCCAGATCTCGGGCCCTGGGGGAACCCTCAGAGGGCCAGGAAATAGAAGCTGAGCAGAGGGCAGGGGACAGAGAGCCCGAAGGCTGGTTGAGGGGTTTGGGCTTCCTCCAAGTGGAGCAGAGACTTGGGGCGGGGAGGGCGGAGTGTGTCCTGGGGACCAGGCTTGGGGTTGTGGGCGAGGGGTGTGCGCCATCCAGGGCCAAGACCAGCCACAGGTCCCCGTGAAGAGTGCAGCTCCCGGGCCCTCCTGGTGGCGCAGGGCGGCCCCCAGGGGCTGCAGACCTCTCCGGCCTCCCTGTCGCCCCCTCGGCAGTGTACTTCGTCCATCCGCCTGTTCTGCGCCCGCTCTGCCTCTGAGGAGTCCGCTCACCCCCCACCCCTGCACCTCTGTGCTGTACCCCAGTTCTGTGTGCATAAATAAATAAATCTTTGAGAAAAACAAAAGCACAGCTTCCTCCAGCCCCTTGGGGAGGGGGGTGGTGGAGAGGGGCTTTGCGCAGGTACAGCCTGGCCCGCCCTTTCCTAGCTCCCCTGCCCCCACCCTCCCCTCCTCAGGTCGCTCCTGCCCTCCACCCCCTGGGGACTCACAGCCAAGGCCTCCTCTGTGGTCCACTCCATCTCGCCTTTCCTGCGCAGCCGCTGGAAGATGACGGTGTCCGCGCCCTTGGTGTAGAGGCAGATGGCGCCCTCGGGGTTGCGGACTGCTGTGGAAGGCCCAGCTGCCCACTCTGCTCCGGCCCCACCCCCCACTCTGGGGCTGAGAAATGGGCGCAAGGCAGGGGCAGAGGCCCTCACCCAGCACTGACATCCGCTTCCGCACGCTGTTGAAGTCCATCATGGCCAGGACCTTGTACACCCGCTCCTTGCCCAGCTCCATCACCGTGATGCTGTCCTGGGTGCGCGACAGGAACACGTAGCCGAAATTCCGGGCTGCTGTGACCAGCGCCTCCTCATCCGGGGAAGCTGCCTGGTACAACAGCTGGTCTGTCAAGGGAAAGGCGCAGGCGCTGGGGAGAGCACGCTGGGCGCCAGCACCCACAGACTCAGCCCCGTCTCCAGAGCCCCCAGGAGGAGACGGGCCAGTGGGGCTCATCACGGGGTGACGGTCCATTGCCCCTGGACAACCGCTAAGCCCAGCAAAGGCGGGTGGACACTGGGGTCCAGGCTACGTGACGTCCCCTCTCCACTTGCAATGGTCTAAGGCCCCAGCCCAGGCCCCTCCAGCCCGGGCGGGCTGTGGGGCGCAGGGCTGGGTCCCCTCTCCAGGGGGGCGGCGGAGGGGCAGCCCCCGACTCACTGCCCTTCTCCTGCACCATCACGGTGTGGCAGATGGCCAGCAGGCGCCAGAACTCCTGCACCATCCTGTCCTTCTTGCTTTGCACCGCATGCAGGAGCTCAGCGTTGTGGAAGAGCAACTTCCCGTCAGCAAATTTGTTCCAGAGGTAGGGGTTCACCTGGGGGGACGAGGGGGGTGGCCAGCGCTGTACTGGTCTCTTCTCCCCCGACCTCCCAACCGTCAGTGCCGCAGGGCGACCGGGACTCACCATATACGAGGACTTCTCGTCTGGACCTAGGGAGAGACTCTGCTTCAGGCCTCAGTCCCTGGGCTCCCCACGGGGCCTGCAGCCCCTGCCCTCCATGGTCAGAGTCTGGCCTGTCACCGTAGTCAGACACGCCAGACCCAGGGCCTGGACCTGACACCCAAACTGCAAGGACCTCTGTGCAAAAAAGCAAGCAGCCTGGCCACCTCCCCTCGGCGGGGTCTCGGGAGGGCAGGCGGGGCGGGACCGGCCCTGTGGGACAGTGCGCCCAGCCGCCCGCTTTTTAGAAGCTGAACTTGGCCGCCTGCTTTGAAGTCAGGTGATTTCACCGAGTAACCTGGCTCCACAGCCCTTCCAGAAAAAGCGGAGGACCTCGCCTGGTGCTGCTGCCGTGCCACTCACCCCTCTGTGCCCCATCACACCCACGGCCCTGGCTGGGGCTCAGGCGGGACTGCGCAGGGGGCACTGGCCCGCAGTGGCTTCCGGCACCGACGCTGGCTAACCGCAGACAGGGGACTTGCCGAGTGGACTTTCGTGGGGCCGGTGCCATCGGGGCCGGGGACACACACTTCAGCAGCCAGCCCCCACCCACCTCGGCCACGGGCGGAGGCTGCTGGGACCCCTGTGGCCTGCAGCTGACCAACACACATTGAGCAGCATGTGACTTGGCCAGGGCCAGCCAAGTTCACCAGCCAAGTTCACCTGCCCCACACAGGCCGGCAAACTGAGGGCAGTTCCCACATTTCCAGATGGTGGGGTCGGGGAGTCACAGAAGAACATTATGCTGAGATGGGCAAAAATGGCAAGAAGTTCAAAACGCGTGACCACAGTAAGGGTCTGCGAAGATGGAAAGAAAAATCCAACTTCCTGTGAGATGTGAAGATATCAGGAATTTCAGGCTTCGGCATCCGCAAAGAGGTTTGCAAAAAGGAAAGAGCGTATTTTGTGACACATGAAGATGGCATGATTTGAACTTCAGCCGCCACAAAGAAAGGGGTGCTGGCTGGTGGCTCGCTTGCAGACACAGGGCGGGCTATCTTGACAGAGACCGTGGCCCGGGAGCCCCACAGCTAGCCCCGTGGGACTCGAGTTTGGGCTGGGGGTGCTGGGTCAGGGGTGAGTGAACTCGAGGCCAAGTCAGACTCCCAGTGAGATCTCAGGGCGCAGCGGCCCAAGGCCAGCCGTTGCGGGGGGAGGGCCGGGCAGCGCCAGGGAGGAAGGGCGGGGCAGAGTGGGGCCCCACCGTAGACATAGCCATTGATGCAACACTTCTTGAAGGTCATGATGTTCTGGGTGAGGGTGCCCGTCTTGTCGGAAAAGATGTACTCCACCTGGCCCAGCTGGTCGTTCAGGCTGGTGCTGCGGGCCATGGCGGGCAGGTCCTTGGGCTCATAGTACATCTGCGCGTCCCAGTTAATGAAGATGCTGTTCCCCAGGTAGATGAATTCCGCGCTGCAAACACAAGTCAGTCACAGCCTAGCCCTGCCAGCTCCTCCGTGGGGCGCCGGCCTGGCGGGGGGCTTACCTGATGAACATGGCCATGGGCACCATGGCACTGAGGAGGATGAGGAAGCCCCAGAAGATGAGGAAGGACTCCATGAGCACACCGTAGCCGTGCCCCTGGGGTACGTAGTGGTGATTGTCCTTGAACTCTCGCACCTGGTACCAGAAGCCCAAGGTCAACGCCAAAGAGATCAGCACCAGGGACAGGAAGATCTGCACCATGAACAGGAGGGGCAGACCATGTGGGGGAGGCCCGGGGCGGCTCCGAGGCACCCCGGGGGCCCGCCAAGGGACACACCCAGTGTGGAAAGTCAGTGTGGGGTGGGAAGCCCCTGGCCCCGACCCTGCCGTCGTCGGGACGGGCCTGGGGTTACGGAGCGCCAGCTGCGCTCCTGACGGCTATTTCTGAACCGATAACTATAGTAACCAAAAAAGTAAAGTTGACTGGGCAAAAAGTTAAGGACTGTTAAAGGTCTGTGGAGGACAGGTGAGCGCTTGATTATTTTCTGTGGGCTTGGAAACAGGCAAGATCAAACTGATTTTGTAAGACATTTTTTTAAATTGTTATTCAAGAACAGTCTGGCTCGCCGGCCCGCCTGGGCGCTCATTTTGCAGAGAGATGCTGGGAAGCCTGGAGAGGGAGCCCCGGCTGTGCCCGTGGGCAGGACTTCCCCCTCTGCCATCCCTCGGCGGGGTAGGGATGGGCAGCTCACCAGGACCACCAGCTTATTCACCAGAAGATCGATCTTGGTTCTCTTCAGGTGGAACTTGCCACAGTTCTTCATGATCTTTGTGTCAAAGCCTGCAGGATTGGTATCCTTCCAGCCACCCCCCGCCCACCCACCCAACCACTCACTGATCCACCTGCCTGCCCCCCCATGAGCCCACCTGCACACAAGCACCCCACTTTCCCAGCCACAACAAGGCAGCTGACCCAGTGTGTCCATTTCCGCAGGTTCAGAAACCAGGACCCGAGAAGCCAGGCCAGCAGCCCACCTCCCCGAGCCAGCGCGTACAGCCAGGCCTGGCTCGTGATCTCGCCATGGGCGTCGCCCTGTCCCCCCACCCGGGACAGCCCGCGGCCGGGCGCGGGCAGCGGTACCAGCGTAGATGACCATTCCGTAACAGGTGTCTGTGTTGCGGATCTTGCAGCCACGCAGGAGGATGTTACCGCTGTCCAGAGGGTACTTCTTGCCCTTCCATTCCAAGCAGCCCACAAAATGATGCAGCCGGCTGTTGGGCTCCTCACACACGACCTTGCCTGTGGGCGACGGGGTGCTCGGGGCCAAGGGCACGGCTGGGTTCTGCACCCCTCTTCCATGAAGGGTCGGGATGGGGACTCAGGACACGTTCCTGCCACCCTCCAGCTCTGCCACCTTTGCAGGCCCGACTCTGGCCCAGGCCTGCCCGGCGCACCTCCGCCACACAGCTCCGGGGAGCCCTTCCTGATGCTCCCCACCCTCCAGGCCTTTCCAAGTATCCTGACTCCAAGGGCCAGAGAGGGACAAGATCCACCAGAACAAATGTGAGAACTGACCGTGCCGGTTGCCCGACACCCCGACACCAGTATCCGCCACTTCCCAAGCCCAGTGCGCTGGGCCCTGCACTCACTCACCCTGGAAGGACTCCATCCGCTTCATACTGGTCAGCTCGCGGTGGGTGACCATCGGGGCCTGTCTAAACTTCAAGTTGGTCTCCCTGTTGAGAGGAAGGAGGGCTAGGTCACAGGTGGGCAGACAGCCCTTGGGCAAGGCACCCCCAGTCACTCAAACATTTTCTCTAAGCACCTACTGCGTGCCAGCTGCCAACAAGAGGGCTGAGGTCGAGAAGGCCTTGCCCAGGACACTGGACTTTGGCAAAAGGGCGGAGGCCAGATCCTGGGCCTCTTGCTTTCAGGGGATGCCTGGCACACAAGTAACCTCCAGAAAGGTTGATGCAGAGAAAGTGGCTTCCTCTTGTCACCCCTACTGACTTACAGCTGACCCCATAAAAAGCCCACGGGGTGAATGAGCAAAATATGCAATTCAGCTTGGTGACCTCCCTGTGGCAACTGGGGAAGCCCCCACCTAGGCCCCAAATGATGACTGTCTCACCCGTCGATGTCAGCTGTCTCCACATAGCACAAGCTGCTGGGCTCCGTGCTGGCCAGCAGCAGCAGGTCAGCCTGGGGGTGTCGGGAGGAAACCGCATTGAGGGCCGCAAGGACAGGCCGGCGGCGGGCGGCCCACCCCGGTGAGGGCTGCGCCAGCTCACCGGGACAATGCTGTCTTTGTGGAGACAGACCAGGTCTCCCACGCAGATGTTCTTCCACTTCCTCCACAGGAACCTGCAGGTCAGACAGGCCGCAGGCACTGAGGTCCAGCTCGGACCCTGGCCCCTTGCCCATCCCCAGCCGGAGAAGCAGGGAGAAGGGAGCGGCTTGGAGAAAATGAGTGGCTCTGGAAGGGATTTGGGGGTGCCGTGCCCAAGGGCTGTCTGCGCACCTGAACAGACGGACAGATGCCCCACGGTGCCTTTGCGGCTCAGCCCTCCAGGGGTGTCACAGGCCCCACTCCCACTCTCCCTGGGCCCCTTTGGCGAGCCCCCTGCTCTGCAAGGGTTAACCGTCTGTCTCCATTGCAGGGGGCCCCCCAGGCCTGGGCAACAACAGGCGCCTAAGAAACGCTGGCCAGCTGGCCACACGGAGTGCAGTGCCGCCTGCGGCCTCACCTCTTCCCCATCAGGATCTGGCAGGGCCTGTTGTTGATGGCTCTGTCGTTCCTGTGCCGCCCCTGGGTGGGTCAGAGAGATGGTGCTGGCTCCGCAATGCCCAGGTAACGCAGGTGGTCCTGTCACCTGTCCAGTCCACAGCCCACAGCCAAGTCTGTCCAGGGGCCCCCTGGGGGGCATTGTTGCTGGCTGCCCAGGTGACTGCCCGGTGCGGCCGCCTGGATGACGTGGCTGGGCACGGCTGTCCACAGTGACCCCCTGTGGCCACCCACAGCCCGGGGCCAAGGACACTACAGACAGCCCCCGCCCCCACTTACTATGTCGTCCACCAGGTCCCGGGTTGCTCTGATGAGGAGGAGGCAGACGAACGGAGCAAAGAGTGTGAACCAGGGCAGCGTGGAGATCGCGGGGAAGCTCTGGCACAGAGTCTGGGTCACACCAGCCTGCTGGGCAGCCCCCGTCCTCCACCCGGCACCCTGAGTCCTGTGCCACCTGGCCCTGGGTCTGGAACTTCTCCCCATAAGCCCACGGACTTTGTCCCTCTAGATGTCCCTTAACGCCCAGAACATTCCCTCCCACGATGTCCCCCTCCCCTGCCTCAGCAAGGCCTCCGCCAGCGCCTGGCCTGTCCTTGGGGCCTGGCTCTGTCCGCCTCTCTCCACGGGACTCTGCCCCCCTCCCGCAGCAATCCGTCCTTCAGGTCTGAGCTCCGGCCGGGCAGCGGCCCTGCCTATCACTGCCCACACCACAGCCTTGTGAGCCGCCTGAAGACAGTGCCGGGCCACTGGTGGGTCTAGACCTGCAGAGCTCCGTGGGCAAAAGCTCAGTGTCCACTTCACTCAGAACAGAAAGGGGCAGGTGCTTTGCAAGCTGGCTGCGCTGCCCGGGCCGGAAGCCCATCCTGCGCCATGCTGCCCCATGCTGGAAACGCCCAGTGGTCCTGAGGACATATGCCACCCCTTCTCTCTCCTTGCCCTTTAGGGCCAGTTCACTGGGCTGAGGCCCAGGGCATGATGTGGCCAAAGCCGTTGGTCCTGGGGAGGGCCCTGCCTTCCTTGGACATGCAGAGGAGCCACCCAGATACCTCCACCACCCACCACCCGTGTGCCAGGGCTGGGCTGCTGCCAGCAAGGAGGGTGCACCCAGTGTCTGAGGGGTGGGTACTGGCCACGAGGATGAACACTCAGAGGGCGCTCCCTGGGCTCGCAGACCGTGAGAGGAGAGTGGTCAGGGAGGGCTTCCCAGAGACGGCGGCACGGGAGCGGGAGGTGCAGGGGTTGGTTCCTGGGGCTGACCCACTAGGCCCACCTGGAGGATGATGACCAGGAGGAAGTAGAGGTTGGACATACGGTGGAACTGCTCATACAGGTTCCGGGGCAGGAAGGAGAAGGTGTTGTATTTCGCCGTTTGGATGAAGTTGGTCTGGAGGAGAGCAGCAGGCATGCGGCGATGCCCAGGCCAGGGCACCCACCGCCGACCCAGCCCCAGGCCAGCCTCACCCGGCCCGCGGCTCAGCACCAGCATTGAGTGGCTCCTGACTGCTGCTGAGCAGCTGCTGAACGCAGCTTCACGCGGCCAGGTGGCGACCCCGTATTTCTCAAAATGAGACGCGTGAGAGGATTGGAGGGAGACTCTGATGGACATATTGGCTGTGTGCTAATTTATTCTAAAGCAGACGGGGGTGGGAGTGGGGTGCAGAGCCAGGGACACGGGGAACTCCAGCCTCAAACCAGTGATTCAGTTAGAAGGAGCACAAGAGTTCTCATGACTGCAGTCAAGATGTCAAGCAGATGTGAGCACAGGAGGGACTCAAGTAGCCCCCAAACCGGCCCCTGCAGGTTCACACCACTCAGCCCCAGCAGGGGGGGGGGGCGCCCACCTTGTATTTATTCCTCAGCCAGCACAGGAAGAACTTCTCCTTGAACTGACTGTTGTAGGCTCGGTTGTTGGCCTTCACCTCCCAGGTGAACGCTGAAGCCAGAGAAGGGCAGGTACTGCAGGGGCCCGCACAAACACCCGCTAACAACACCCCAGAGGAGGGCTGATGGGCCCTGCAGGACCCAGGCCCTGGAGGCCGCTGGCTTGGGGAGCATCGGAGCCTATAAACAAGCGGGGAGGCCCCTCCGGCCCTGCACAGGGGCTGGTGGGTCTGAAGAGCAGGGCCTGGGCGCCCATCACTCCACATCCAGGCTACGGCCCGACCCTCCTCAGAACAGACCCCGGGCAGCCCACTCACACCCATGCTTCCTACAGGGGCCTCTGAGGCCCAGAAGGGCCAGCGTGGGCACACAGCTCTCTCTGGCCTCAGAGCTCTGGAAACCCGAGCCTGCCGTTCAGTCTCAGGTTGGGATATCGCGGGCTGCCAAGTGCCTGAGGGTGGTCTCCCTGGCCCTCCCACCTCAGCCTTGGAAAGGCCCCCGCTGACTCCCTCAGAGGCCCGAGCTCCCTGCCTGGGCGCTAGGGCGGGCACCTGAGTTCTTCTCTTCTTCAAAGTCATCCTGGAAGACAAGGCTGCCCATGCTGGCCGGACTGTGGGAAGAAAGGCCCAGTCAGTCTGCGGAGCCGGAACTGCCTGTGGCTTAGTGGGGTCAGCGTGAACCCTACAGCTCGGCAAGGGGAGCTCCCAAAATCCCGGACAACGCAGGCGACTGGCTCAGGGGTGTCTATGGCTTCGCCCCCCGTAGGAGTGATTTCGGAGGAACTGATCCTGAATTTAGGACTCTGCCACTTGGCTAGCCGGAATGAGTGACGTGGCCCAAGGGCACCACAGCCCGGGCGTAGCCAAAGGGAGGCTCAGAGCCTGCGCTGCTGCCAACCGTCCAAGCCAGAGCCTGCGAGGTCCGATGGAAGCTGGGTTTGGCGCAGACAGGCGCCCTCTTTCCCTTTCTCCACTGAGAGCCTTCAGTCCTCCCCTCTGGCCAGCAGACCTCCACTACAGTGTTGGGCTGTGTGAGATCTTCTGTCATAGTTCCTAAGTTTCTCCAGGGGCTGCTTTTTGCTTTTATTCTGAAAAATAATCCTAATGGTATTTAACACATATTTGAGATAGATTGTATGAAAAAAAAAAAAAGGCCAAAGTCACACCTGCACTCCTCCCTGGCCAGACAATATCCCCATCTATCCGCAACCCCTCTAAAACGTCACCTCCCCTGGCCACTTGCTGTCCCTTCCCGGAGCTTGGCAGCTCAGCCACCAGCTATCTGTTATTCCCTAGATGTCCTCTGGCTTGGCAGGTACCAAGGTGGTCTCTTAACCTGCAGTAGCCCCCCACCAGCGCCTCAGCTGGCAACATGAGCCTGCCTCACCAGCCCCCATTACAGTGGTCCACTCGGGATGAAGGATTCGGCCTTTAGCCATTGCTCCTGACCCCCAAGGTGGCCCACAGTCCAGGCCCCCATGTCCCCAGGTCCTTCGAAGGTGAAAAAACCCACTGCCTCCACGGCTCCACGCCGCCTCCTGCCCAGTGCCCACCCAGCACACAATGCCCAGTGGGGTTAGGTGGTCAGTGTTTGGCAAATAAATAGGGCCTGGGCACCCCTATATTTCCTACACATGTAGCCGGGAAGCCAGGCTACCTTGAGGGAGAGAGGGAGGCAGATACCAGGCCTTTCGCAGAGCCTGGACTCTGTCCACCATCCCCAGTCACTCCTAGTCCTTAGATGCTAGGAGCTGGGGTCTCACTGGGGGTCCCTGGACGGGGACCAAAAACCAGGCAAGGGACCCCGGCCACCCCGCCCCTCACAGCACCCAGGGGCTCCTTCCTTCCAGGCCCTTGGGTTGGCCTGCCGGGAACACCCTACCCAGGAGCCGCTCAGGCCCTCCTCACCATTTGGGTCTCAGTTTGTACTTCTCAGACCGTCCAGGCTTGTTGGGGTGCTTCCTCTGAGCGCCCCCTCTGCCCGCAGTGTCCCCCATCCTGGCTCTGGTCGCCTTCTCTCCGGCGCTTCTTCCCGTCTGGCCCATCAGCAGAGCCACCTAGGGCTTTCTGCCTGCCTGAGTCATGGCGTCCCAGGGGACAACCTGGCTCGGGGCCAGCTCTGGTGGCCCTGGGAGTGGCACAGGCCAGTGCCCTTCAGCAGATGAGGAAAACTGAGGCGCGTTCAGTTGCATGAGGCTTAGCCAGTGGGACCTCCACCCCGCAGGGGACGGATGGGGTGAGGGAGGACGGCGTCCACGCAGAGTTTATCTGGGGACACGTTCGCGCCCCCAGAGCGTCCTTCCACCTTCCTCTCACCTCAGCTCACCAGGGCGCCCATTATAGCCGAAGCCTGCGCATCCCCGCAGGGGCAGCGGCCCAGGGTTCGAGCCCAGCCTCCCTGGCTGGCATCCGGATCCCGGACGCTGGGCACTCCCGTCGCCCCGACCCCGCCCCGCGCGAACCTCTAGGGGTGCGGCGGCCGCGATCTCCCGCCTCAGGCCAGCTGAGTCCTGAGAGGATGCGCGGGCTCCCGGGACAGCCGTCCGCCGGAGATGTGCCGCTCACCTGCGGGCAGGGCCTGGCTGCCCGGGGAGCTCCGCGGGCGGCCAGGGCGGCGGACGTGATGGAGCTGCTAGCCCGGTGCCAACGGGTTTGAAACGCGCCTGAAACGGGCTTGAAACGGGCGGCGCGGGCGCGGGCCCGGGC